TAAAGATAATAGAAGGTTTATTCATTTTATCAATTAATAAGTCATTCCGGGGTCGTGTACTTTTGAATATCCCAGACAACGATCCCTCGATACGAAAGCTTTTAATGTATAGTCAAAAAACATTTAGCTAAAGCGTGACTTTGTCACTTCTTCCACTTCTTCATAACACTGTGAAGAAAGTTGTTAAAATTCATAACAGTTTTGATATTAATTTTAATAACATTCGTGATGTCATAACCTTGTTGTAAAAAGTAACAACTCGGTTATGAAAATTCGAAAAAGTTGTGAAATTTAAGAATCGTGACTTTTCCTCAACATGTTATGACTTTCAATAACATGTTATTACGTTCTACAACATTTTATAATTTTTCAAAAACGATAGTGAGTTTTCATAACTGTTAAATGTTCAAAAAAACCTAGTAAAACTTAGCTGTTTTGATTTTACATTCAGGCAATAGTTCTTGAGTAAACTAGGGAAATTTCAACGGAGGAACGGAGGGGAAAATGTCGTTAACTGTAGGTGGAGGACGGGTTAGACCCCGGGGCAGCCGACGAACCACACCGACAGCCATCGCTCCTCCTCCCACGGGCGCCCCGTAGGCGAAAAGTTAAGCATGCGGATTCCCAAACCGCAGGTCGGGGGTTCGACTCCAGGCGAAGTCGGGGTAACATGTGCTTCCCAAAGAGGTCTGAGAACATCGATGTGAAAAGGAAGTGGGAAGGAGAAGGCATGTGAAATGAAAATTATTTTTAGCAGATGATACCTTAAATAGCTTTTGACTAAACATAAAGAATATATAAGTAACTTTAAGGTGTCAGCTAGCTTGTACTCTCGATAAGGGCAGAGAACCAAAGCGCATGACGTCACCCAGATGTATAGGGGGCGCGAGAAGTCGCTGGCCCCGCCGCCCGTTCCCACCAACAATACCCAACAATACTGAGCCACGGATGCCGGCCGGCCGGCCTGCTGCCCCCCTGCCCCCTATCTCCCAGTGAGAAATGCGGATGTCAAATTGACATCAGAACGATATCGGACATCAGAAAAGTGTCGATTTCGGGCCCATTTTTGAATCAGTTCTGAGTCAGGAACTTGAAAACGATATCGTTCTGATATCGATTCGATATCGCTTAAAATTCATTTCGCACTGGGCTCTTCCTCCATGCCATGCCGCTAGTCCGTTGAATTGCAAGAAAGCAATTGCTAAAAGTAACACACAGCCATGAACAAAATATGAGAGAAAATTAGGGCACAGACATATCCTTAAATTTGTATCATCTGCTTTCACGATACGTCCCTCGACGTAGCTTTTTTCTCTCTTTTAAACAAGTTGACATTTCACAACTTGTGCTATTAATTTTCACAACGAATGTTATGAATTTTCAGAACAAGTTTGTTATTAATTTTCATAACACTTATGTTATTAAATTTACAAACCATGTTTGTGTTAATGCTTCACAAAAATGTTATAAAAATTTAAGAGAGAAATAACAGTGAACCTGTACTTACAGAAAGTTGAATGTTGGACGGCCTGGCAGGCCAATTGCGAGAAGAGACCAGACTGTCTAATTTTGGGAAGTAACCCTCTACGATGGGTTCTCGGAAATTGAGTAATCGCTTCACTCGTTGTAGGCCGTTGCAAAAGCGCTCAAAGTTGTACCTAAAACAATTAAATATGTTACACTGTTAGAAAGAGTAGTGAAAAACAACAATTTTTTAGACAATAACAGCTGAAAATAAACAACAAATGTTGTTTTCATTTGATCTCTTGCGAAACTTGTGTTATTCGGCTGATATTAGCCCACAACAGAAACTACTTGGTATAACTTTGTTGTAAATGTACAACAAAAGGGTGGTTAATTTTGGTAGCAACACATTTCGTTCAAAAACAACACACTCGTAATATTACAACTCTTTTTTCCAGGAGCAAAACAACAGTGTCTGTTTTTGGCCAGAAAGTTTGTTTCCGAGATTTTTTATCGATGTTGTGTTTTTAGCCCGCCCTTCTGCTTTGAAAAAGCTATCCAGCGGGCTTATGCAAACGACCTCGTGTGTGTCTGTGTGTCTGTCTGTTTCAAGAGAAGGAGATGTGCTAGAGACTTGAAATTTTCAGGGTATCTTAAGGTCCACTTCTAGAGAACGAAACGCCTACGGCAAATCCTGGCAACCACCCATAAGGGTGTGAATGGGGGTATCCAAGGTTCAAAAATTCTCCCAAAAAGTATTTGTCTTAAGCGTTCTCCTAAGGGGTAACTCGTCAAAATAGAACTCTTCGAGCAAAAATTTCGTCCGTTTCGCTCTATCTCTAAGCGTTTAGGCGCTAGAGGGCCTTTTTTTTTTACGAAAATAAGCCAAAGATTGCCATAGTGAACAATAAGTTGTATAGAAAAAGGCCTAAAAACCGCAAAATAGAAAGGAAACCCTCCCCCCACCCCCTTTCACCCCCATAGGGGTGGTTGACAGGATTTGCCGTAGGCGTTTCGTTTTCAGGGAGTGAACCTTAAAATACCCTGAAATTTTTAGACCTCTAGCTCATCTCCTTCCTCTTACACGCACGACGGACGGACGGACGGACGGACGGACACGAGAGCGGTTGCATAAGCCCGCTTTAATGCTTTTTTAAAAGCAGAAGGGCGTGCTAAAAAAATCAGGAAAAATTGAAACCGTAGCCAGAACCTTGGACAGTGGACAGGTACGCCTTGTGCTCGCGATGCACACTTGAACATACCTGCACCTGCCGCCGTGCCTGCTGCAGGGGGGCCGATCTTGTGCACAAGCTAGTTGTGCACAAAATGTGCATGCGGTCCCCACGCGTAGCCCATCCCACTTCATGGGTCGAAATCACGGATTTCGGAG